TAAAAATGGCTAAGTATTTAGAAACAATTAACGTACTCTACAAGCATACTTAGCATACGGGTTTAGTAGCAGGTAATACCATAAATTTAGTTGCTATTTAACTACTGTTTTGATGCAGGACACTTACCGGAAGTTCTAGATTTGCGCAACGGTAAATCGCGAAATGTAGTTACACTACTGCTCTCAAGGGATAGATCAACCGAGGGTAGTGGCTGCGGCGGGACCGGAGTGTCCGAGTGCGATCGCTCATGGACTGCGCGAGCGGGTAATATGTTGCCTGGGACCGGGATAAATAACAAAAAAATTATAAGACAATGTCTAAAGAATAAAATCTATTGAAAATATTTGTTTATCCACCTACCTCCCGATGCTAGACGTCTATGGGAACAGGGACTAAGACTCGAAGTGCAGTGCGAACTTGGCATGACACTTGGCGCTGGCGAAATCACTCCCCCAGCCGACAGTGTGCTGAAACCATGCGCTGGATGCATATGATGTAGAGGCGGAATAGCTGCACCAATAGCGGATCCGTATCGCGGCACAAAGGGTTGGTGTGGGCGGATTTTTGAGGATTCTGACAAGGATAGCATCTTCTTGACTGCCTGCGGCGATGCTGTGCCGAACTTTGGACCGTTGTTGTTAGTCTGTAACCTTTGATGGTCGCTAGTGGAACTCGCCGAACTTGTTGTTGAAAGAGTAGGCGAACTTGGATGCCTCTTGCGTAACGAAAGTGAGGAATTTGGTGCCGAACTGGAGCTGGTATGCGAGTAAATGCTCAGTTGATCGCCAGCATTGAGGTTAAAGCTGCCCCCGCCCCCGCCACCTCCACCGGCGCTGATGCTGCCTCCAACTCCGCTTCGGTGTGAGGTGTTGCCCTGCGAGACGGTGCCCGAGTTATTGGACCCGTGCGCCGGTTCGCATTCTAAAGAACATTTGTGCAAAAAGTCCTCGTCACAGAGAATTTTGAGACTGTTGAGGTATGCCTTTACCCGACGCACCATTTGCGCTTCCTCAAACATCTTCTTGGGGTTGGGCGCCGCCGCAGACTTCTTGCGCCGCTTTATAGTTGCCTGACCGGCATTGGACGCGATAACTGTGCCGGCGGCAGCGTTGCTCTGCGAGGCATTCATTTGATTCAACGAGAATAGGGCGGTAGATGGAGATTGTCCTTTGAGCTCAAGGATGGACAGCAGATCGTACGGTGAACTGCACATGTGGGTAAGCAGACGTACCTCCTTGGCCAGCATTCGCAGTTTCTCGAAGTTGATTAGACCGTCCACTGTTGTATTATTTCCCAGGTGGATAAAGGTAAGATCCTTTTTGACTATTGGATAGAACGGGATGATGGGGTGCTGAGCCAGCAATTCGGCTGACACTAGTTGCCGATACTTGCTCATGTTACGCGAAGGATCCATCAGGTCTTGCAGGTCGTTAAACAACCTCTGGTATTTGGAAGGCAACTTTTCCCACGTTTGACGCAGCCGTGACACAGCGCCGTGTCCCAAGCCGGAAATAATTGCGAACATAGAGTTGAAATTTCGGCACTCCTTGCAGTGACGCGCAATCTTGATGAACTGCTTGACTATCTTCATGCGGCGAACAATGTTGTGCTCGGCGCAAATCTCACTCACCACCCAAAACATTTCACGATTGACCAGTTCAGCAAATTTGCTAAGCATGGGCACTCCGTAGCGAGACCTTAACTCGAACAATTCGTCCACATATTCAGTGGACTCGATCTGACGAAAGTTAGCGAAGTCCTGTAGAGTCAGTTGAATGGCTAGTTCATACGCGTTCAGCTGCAGGAGGTGCACACTAGACTCGCGAACTAGCTCTAACGCCAGTTCGTCCGGAACCAACGGCTCGGTACTATCGTTTAGTTTGAGGTAGTAACGTGCCGAAAAGCTGATTCTTTCCGCCAAATTCTGCAGCTGATCGGGGAGCCGGCGCTGCTTTACCATCCCTCCATCGCCTACACTGACTTCGCATAGCGAAAAATTTGAACTGGGATCGTGTATTCCAAACTCCTGCAGTGTCAGCATTACAACCTCGTGGGCCGTTGTCTCCTTGTAGATGAGCACGTACTTGCATGTCTGGTCTGCCTTATAAACCTTTAGCACGTGTTCCGGGTAGTCGGGAAGGTGGTGAGAGTGTGTCGAGTTTGTGGTTAAAGTACTGCATACAGACGGCCGATTATTGTGGGCACCCAGGTAGTTTACTACTTGTCCCTTTCCGCGATCACTCCCTAGAACTTCACTGCCTCCTTCATAATCGAGGCTAGTTAAATCCGGATTTGATTGCGACTGGTAGAGTCGGCCACTCCCATTGATAGTGCAGCCATTAGTTGATGCAGAGAGTTTTGACTTGCGATTGTTTTGCAGCGTATCCGGGCAATCATTTAGGCTGTTTTCGTGATGTTGTTTATTCAGCATATTTATTTTTGCCAGGGCCTTCTGCAAACGCCGTTTGGGCGCCAAAGTCATAAAACCCCCCTTTGTGTCCTGCTGATCCGAATTTGAGGGGGTACAGGATCCCGACGACTTTTTAGAAGAGCTGTTGCTAACGGTTTGCAGAAGCTGCTGCATGAAGTTGGAGGCCATATTTCCGCTCCAACTCACAGGCGGTGTTTGCGGTGGAGCGCAGTCTGGCTGGTCAAGTAGCATATCCACCGAACTTAAGCGTACCATGTGCGCCCGACTTGACGCGCTAGCGCTGGATAATTCGTCGGTGGTGCTTTCCGAGCGACCGTGCAGCCTAGCAATATCATTGACACAGATACGGCGTGGGCTTCGCAAAGACTTGAAGCTGCCGCTGCTTGCGGAAATACTTCCAGATCCAGCGGATCCACCATGCTCCAAAGCCTGCATTATCTCCTTAAAACCAAGCAGATTGCTTTTCACGCTGATACTCAAGTGGGTTGTACCCGTGAGGATATCGAGGGCTCGCTTGCTAGTCACATGGTCCAGCGACTGTCCATTTACTTCGTGAATCTGATCTCCACGCTTAAGTCCAACATCTTGGGCCTTAGAACCCGATTCAACGTGTGAAATGTATATGCCCACGGTTGCGCTTCCGGTAGCTACGGCTACGCCTCGAAGCTCATAGCCGCCTACAATGCAGAAGTTCAGCGGCTCGTCACGTGAAGATCGAGTAAGGGTACAGTTGCGCATTCGGGCCTTCGCGGCGCATGCTATGTGCAAAAGGCGTAGTTGACTTAGCAACTTCTTTCGCTCGAGAAGAGTTTCAAAGACTTCTAAAAACTCCATCATCTCATAGTCCGCCTCAAAGTCGGTAAAGTGGTTGTTCACCCAGAGAAGCACCACGCGAGTTACGCGATCTCGCAGTTCTTGCGTCTTGTGCGCGTCCACCTCATCTAGGTCAAACCAGTGCAATAACTTGCTGGTCACCTCTAGCGGCTTACGAATAAAAATGCGGTGTGTGAGCAAAAAGTCTTCCACGTACGTGGGATCGGTCATTGAGTTTTCTTCGACCAGCTGCTGTAGCAGTCGATCCGGAGTTCCACGAATAACCACGTGACCGCGTTTCAAATGTAACGAAGCCGAAGATCCTGTTGTCGATCCGCCACCGCCAGCAGAGTCACAGCCGACTCCGATGGTTCGGAGCTCCGTGACCATAACCACGAGCCCAAGCTCGTCTTCATGCCGCCGTGTATTCTCCTCACCTTGATGCTGAATACGGTAGTAATCCGTTTGGGTGATGCACACAAACTGACAGTCGTCGCACTTGGTTCTCATCACACCTCGGTGGTACAGCTTGTCCATCGTGGGAAGGATGCCAAAGGAGTCTCCCATCTGCAGTTCTTCATGGCTGCCATTCGCATGTTCGATTTCCACCGCCCCGTTAATTAGCACCGACCATGAGTCTAGTTCTTCACCATCTGACATGACTACGGTTCCTGCCTTGTCCACCACGGCGAATACCATCACGGAACAGAGCGCTCGTCGTACCGCCAAAGTGATATTTGTAAACGCCTTCAAGCCCTGCGTAAACTCAAGCAGCACTTCCACGTCCTCCTCGCTACGTTCCGCCGGGTCCTTTTCCAGACAATCACGCACTGCATCGCGAACAGTTAGACTCTACATCGACGTAAAAGATAATGGGGATATTCGATTAAAATGAAGATTGCCATATAATGGGTCCTAATTATACAGGTCGACAACAAAAAAGCCCAAGACTGAACGCTATAAGATCTAAAAGGGTTTTACCTTTGGACTACGTTACCCAACTTAGAAACTTTTCATCACGTCAAAGTTTCCAGAAAATTGGTCAAAGTACCAAATTTTCGGGTTTTACGCAATTTTAGTTGTTATTAACTAAGAAAGAAAGCTAACTTCGGCATGTCGAAGTTTCTATACCCTTGCATGTCGTTCCCGTGGGAGCGTTGTATGTTGAAGGCTTTCCGATTTTCAGAAAACTAAATACTAATTACAGAAACTTTAAGATAATATCCCATTTTACTTTAATACTGTATATGTTTACCAAAAATGAAAAATATCGCTCTTCATATTATTTTGACATTAATTATCCGATCGTTTCTATGGCAGCTATATGATAAAGTTGTCCGAATTTTTATACATTTTATTTGAAACTATGAATTAATAAAAGATTGATATTCGCAAGACTAAAAAACCACCACAGTTATCATATTTTTTTTACATTTTTTATATATATATTATTTTTAACACTCCTACGGGAGCTATAGAACAGTCGTTTCGTCGATCCGACTTATATACTACCTGCAAACGAAAATAGACTTTTGGTAAGGTAATGCTGTTGTCTGCCTACCCGAAAGTACCACCCCATCAACCCCTGACCCCTTCAACCGCCGAAAATAAAAAGGTGGGAGGTCGAAGGCGGCGCCACCGCTAAGTGCAACTTTTGACTTTTGCCGGGCAACGTGCAACGTGCAACATGCGTGCATGTAACGCATCACGTGTGCGGAAAACCGAACTTTACCCCAATAACACTGGACGAAAGAGTTACTTTTCAGGAATATTTTATTGGACCGATAGGAATTGACAAGTCCCATACATTTCAGTTAAATTTGTATTATAGCATTAATATTGTGAGCGCCAGTTTTTGGGCGGTTTATGGGCGAGGCAATATTTTTTTTAGGTCGATCGATAGGTATTGATAAAATCCATATACACACCTGATCATATTAATAGGTACACACATCAACTCTGACTTAAAGGTAACAAAATAAAGATTTATTCATTGTTTCAAACTTAATATTTGTTCTCATTGGTTCTTAAACTATTTGTTTTTAATAAAATAAACTTATCTGTAACATAGGATAATAATATAACATAAAAGAGATTCTTTTTGTGTTTCAGATACGTTTTCAGTGTGATCATAATAATAGGTACACTTCATGTGTTGGTAAGAAAAAAAATATTAATTTCCATTTTGTATTATTTTTTTAGGTAAATTAGTATTTCCTTACTTAGTATCCAGTGTATCCACCTCTATTTTTGGCCACTACTGCTATTCTTTTTGGCATACTTTTAATAAGAGCCTGGCAGGTCTCTACTGGTGTCTCATACCACAGTTTTTGGACACCTTCTGATAATTTTTGTTTATTTGAAAATGAATGCTTCGCCAATTTTTTTTTTAAGCCTCCCAACAAGTTTTTAAGGGTGTTAAGGTCGGAGGGTTGTCTTGGCCACTTCAGAACGTCAACTTTTTGGTCCTCGAAAAATGTAGATAACAGCCTTGATGTGTGTTTTGGATCATTATCTTGCTGAAATACCCAACGTAATGGCATATTTTCCTCAGCATACGGTACCATAACTGTTTCCAATATGGATTTGTACTCTTCAGCATTCATTTTGTTCGTAGTCTGATAAATTGGACCTACGCCATACCAGGAGAAGCAACCCCATACCATTATATTGCCACCTCCATGTTTGACTGTTTTTTTTTTGTAAACCGTGGATGGAATTCCTTTCCGTTGGGGCGTCGAACATTCCTTTCAGTCATTTCCAAACAAATTAATCTTGGTTCCATCGCTCCATAATATGTTTCTCCGTTTTTTCTCCCCGGTGCATCCTACCCAGTCTTTGTGGTCCCTTGCAAAAGTTTGCCTCATGGTGATATTTTTTTGCGCATAAGTGGGACTTTTCTGGAAATTCTTCCTGGTAGGTTGGCATCTTGTAGTCGTCTTCGGATAGTTGGAGCACTAACTGAATTCCCAATTTCGGCTGCAATAGCCTTCGATGACTTAAATGGGTCCTTTTTGCTCAAAGTTACTATGTAGTGGTAAGGGTTTTTGTTGATTTTAGTGGCCTTCCACGGGTTTCCTGTCTTGGTTTTCTTTCTAATGCATTTTTAACAAAATTATTAGACCTGTTCATTAGTTTGGTGATGGTTCGTAAAGATTTGCCTTCTTTTTTCAGACTAAGAACCAATCGAGCTTCTTCTTTAGTACAATGAGAATTTCGACCCATTTTTTCTAAAAAAAAAAATAATTATTTAATTCTCGGTATTGACAGGAGCTATACTTAATTTACCTTTAGTTACCAAATGATCACTGATTACAAAATAATTCACTCGATACTTGTGAGAAACGGAGACTGTACCTATTATTATGATCAGGCGAAATGTGTGGTGGACTCGCAATTAATAGAAAAGCTTTGATATACGGGGCGTTCCCTCTTTCAACTCTTTGTCACAGTTTGGCCAGACATTGACAACAACAAAAAACCAAAAATTAAAAAGTTGTCAACACTAAAAGTACCAAAAAACAATTTATAATTAAAAAATTCCAATGTGTACCTATTAATATGATCAGGTGTGTATATATCAGTGAAAATTTTTGTTTCTAGCACTAAAACTGTAGGAGCCGGTTTCGGGCGGCTTGTGGGCGTTAGAGTGAGCGTGACACATTAGCGTAATAAACATGCGCTGCGTTCGAAGCTAAGAAACTTAATCCAGAAATCACAACTCTCCACCTTTTATATTTTCGGATATATCAGCGTTCATATGGACGATTTTTTTAAGTTTTTTCAGTCCCAGATAACGAAATTTAGTTTTCTCGGTCGTCAATGTGAGAACTAACTTTGACAGGCGCTCTGCTAAATAATTTTCGACTCTATGAAATGACAGCAGATTTTACAAATCCTACTAAGCTGAAATTTTTTAATCAACATAAGCATAACCTAACAGCCGCAATAAACAAAGAAAGCTCAATTTTGTGATCGATAGCACTTTGTCATTGCTTATCGTTAAGATAAAGTAAGTCGAGAAAACTAACTTGCTTTTTTGACAAGATTATGTTCTTTAACTTTTTTGGACAGTTAAATATTAAGGACTTTGTTAAGGACTTAAGAGCACGATTGTTTTTTTTTAATCAAAAATCAAGCACAGGACTGACATACACAAAAAAAGAAAAGCACCTCAGTGATCTTCTTTGGATGATCTTTGCTTTTTGATGTTTTTTGTGTCTTTTCATTAAACATATTTTATTTAATAATCTCTGTAAGACCCCTATAAACAATTAATTGGAATTTTCCCTCTGATGCAAGAATAACAAAGAGTCAGCAGAGCTAACTCTTGAACAGGCTAAATAAACCTGAGTAGTAATGCAAGAAATCTATTGCAGTAAGCTTAAAGGTTCAACTTTGTGATTTCAATTTCATTAGAGAAATCGTTTCAAAATGTAATCGCATCTTAGCATTCACAATTGATTATCTTGTATAAACTTAATTCGGTAAATTAAATTACAACAAAGTTACCATTTTGAAACCATTTATACCGGGTTATTCCTTTGTAGCAAGTGTAACTTTATTGATTGACATTGACATTGATGATGAATGGGACAATAAAAAACCACATACACTTAGCAATTTGGCTAAGGGGGAGTTTAGAATGAAATGCTTTGTGTTGTTGCATAAATTTGGAGAAGGCATTAAGAAAATTAAATTTCGATTTAATCGCATTTTAGCATTGATATCTTGTCTTCAGTATTTTAGTTATCATTAATTTTCCACCTGGATTAAAATTATCATACACTTTCTTTGTTTCAATCAATTTTTTTTTTAATTTTTTAAGTTTTTTAATTATTTGTGATGATGAATAACAAAATTAGCTTGTAATTTAAAATTAGTATGGCACTTTGAAGGAATTGTGCATTTCTGTTTTTGAAAAGGGAGGCTCTGTATTATAATGAATTTTAATTAAACGAATCACATACCTCACCATACATACATATAACACATGCCATGCAGCGGAACAAATTAAAGTTTTTTGTTTTATAAATCAGCAGCTTGTCAAAAATTCAAAGATTTAGACTTAGCAAAACATAAAACTGAAAAAAAAAAAACAAATTAAAAAAAAATTGGTGGTATATTTGCAAGTTAAAACTTTTACCAACATCTTAAGCTGCACGTTTTTAAATCCCGAAATCCCCAATAAGTACAGACATCAATAGCGTTGACATTGGGTAATACTTAAATTTATATACATAAGAATACATAGGGATTTCTTTAATGACATCTGTGACATGCCGTGAGACATGCATTCGTGGGAATTTTTTCCACCAGCATCCATTCGATAGTGCAAGAACACCTGGCCGTAAGAAAGGTATCTTCTCATTGAATCCCGCAAAATTTGACAATCGCTCAAAAAAGACTCGTGTGGACTGGTATAAATAGACGTTTAAGAGCCCAAAAAAAAAAAACAGAAATCCACCGGTGAGTCTTCGAAGTCCAGCCAAATTCAAAGTTGTTCGGGGAAAAAGCTCTTCGAAGCAAATGGTCGCCTGTTTCCTCGGTAAAACTGGTCATGTGGCGACTTTTACGTTTGAGTGGTACACCACAATTTGTTTGCCTGAAGTCTTCGGAGAAATCCGAAAAACGAATAGGGGAGGAGGGATCTTTTGTTTAACGTATAACGACACCGTACTCAACGCATGTTCAATTTCATAGTCAAAATCTTGTAAATACATCGCCCATCTAGACACTCTCCTTCTTCTTCATGGTTATGGTAAAAGTGTTATAGTCCGTAACAATCTTTAACTTCTTCCCTAGAACCTAGAAGTCTTTTATAACCGCAAGTACTTCAGGTTCCTAAGAATGATATTTTTCCTCGCACGGCTTGCTTTTACGGCACATGTACAAAATTGGATGCCACAAGTTATTACCGAAATCTCGTTGAAGCAAAACGGCTCCAAATTCTAACTTAGATGCATTGGTATGAACTTCTGTTTCAATCGAGTAGTTATAAAGCTTCAGAACTGGTCAAATGATTAATGCATCTTATAGCTTCTTAAATTCTGCTATGTGCTGGTCCTGAGACTCGAATTTACCTCTTTGCGCAACATGTCAGACACCTGTTTGGCAATTACGGCATATCCTTCTATAAGCCCACGAAAGTGCGAAATCAATCCTAAGAATATTTAGACTCCTTTCATGTCGCGCGGGATCGTAACCATGGTACCATTTTCTACGACACAGCCGAAGAAGTTTAATTTGCGCTTCAACACCTGACATTTACTTATATTTATGGGCAATCCATTCCCTTGTGAAACTTCCAAAACTCGCTTTATAATCACACAATCCATCTTTTCATTTAATTTGCGATAATCGCAACACAAGCGCTTCTTCACGTTCTTCCTATCTACAAGCATCACTGGCGAAGTGAACTCGGATGTACTAGGCTGGATATTCCCTTCCTTTAGCCATTCTTGAACCTGGTCATCAACAATTTTCTGATCGCAATAAGTCAAACGTCTCTGATGTTTGAAAACAGGTCACTCGACTTTCAACAAGATCTTCACCTTAATTGGAGAAGTTAGATTTCTTTCTGGTTTGTATCTATCAATCAATGACTCCACTTCAGAAGCTAATTCTGGACTCAGATGCTCCAAATCTACTGACGAAACTGACATAGTCTTTCGTGCTGATCGTGCACATACTCTCCAATTCGCTAATTAGCTGCAAACAAGTAATTTCCCCTGTTGGTCGTTGGTCTTGGTAATGTCAACGCAGTGTAAGACTTTTGTGCCTAAGATCGTCATATCGTCATCCAGTATAGCTTCACGAACACACGCCTACGCATCACACGACATAGGGATACCCACAACGAAACACTCAACCAGGCCCTCTTTTTCCAAACAAATGGGTTTTTGCAATTTCCATAAGTGCTTAAAGGAACTCTTGCAAGGATTCACCCTTATGCTGCTGTCGTTTTCCCAACCTGCGATGAACTTCTGCTGAGAATAACTATGATTAAAGTAAGAGTATGGCGGTGCGTTGCCTGTTTTCACTCACGTTGCAACTGGGCATCGAGTACAAAAAGGGAAAGATATTAGATTAGAAGGAGAGATTACTTCTAGTGGTCCTTTTCTTCACACTACTGCATCCCACATCTAAAACAATAATTCCAGTTGCAATGATGCAGAAGCCGAATTTCCAGATGCGGTTTCAAAATGAGTTTTATTTTGAGGGAAAAAATATTTTTGAGGCGTATTTAAACGTCTATCTATTCGTTATAGTTAAAATTTACCATTGGAGATAGTTCTGCAACTATAAACATAACATTTTACTATTTTAAACTTTGTGAAATTTCCACGAACCAAGCCAAATTTTCTATGATATTTGAGTGCTGATGAGTAAAAGTCCGATACAAACTAATTTTCTATCACCTATAGGTTCCGCGATATAGTTAAGAATTCAACAAACTAAAACCTAACGTTAAAAACAAAAGATTCACAACACTGCCTAGGGAAATAAATCAGTACTAAAATTCAAATTTGAGATGCAAAGCCGACCCAACTTTGCAAATTAGAAAGTCAAAATAAAATATTTCTCCATGGATTGTTTGGTTCGGTTGTTTAAAATGACTCGATTTGTATTCGGATTATTTAGTTTTTACGATATTAGACGCCTTAGTCACAAAATTGTTAACAAATTACACATTTTCAAAGCTCGCAATATAATCAATGTAGCCTATTTATTTAATTGGCAAAATAATAGGGAAACATTATAGATGTTAACTAAAACATATATCACCTAGATTGGTTGTTCGAAGCCGATGTTGCTTAACATGACCAGCATCCAAATCAAGCAGTAGCCAAGTTGGAAACAGTACCAGGCGACCAGTTGCACCCATTGCAGATGAGAAGTGCTGATCAGCATTTAATATTTAATGTCAACGCATTATACAGTTTCAGGCGTGCCAACTGCGCAAACTGTTAACATAATCATAATGAACTGACCTATTTGATAAAAGTAATAAATCAGTTATCAACGCAAATTATAACTGCACGGTTCTACTTCCTACATCCGGGAACGCGGCTCGTAATACTGCACTATCTCAATCAGCAGCTAACCTTCGTTAGCTTTCCGTGCCGCCTGTGGTCCGGTATCACAGTAACCATCGTTACCATTTTCATGCCATCAAAAGTATCATAAATATTTAAAAGCATAAGTGTTTTGATAAAAAAAAAAGGTAAATAAAATCATAATTTTAACTTACGTCTTATAAACTTTTGGCATCAATGGAAAGGTAATTTAAATGCCGTTTGAATGATACAATACATTTCTTAACCCATTCAGTATTTATTGAAAAGGACGAATTTGTGTAAATCTACTTTTAAATCTACTTTTTAAACTTTTTTTCTCGAAAAAAAAGTATAAAAAAAAGCAAAAAGTTTCTTCAAACAAAAATAATAGTAACTGCAAAAAGAATTTTTCAAAAATCATTTTGCTTATATTTTTTATGATTTTTTGAAAATGTTTAGAAACATGAATTTGGGCCATATTTTTGTTTTTTTTTCATACAAATTTTTTCCGACATTCTCACCTTTAAAAAATCATAAAAAATAAAAGTTTAAGTTTTCAAGTCGAGGAAAAAGTTTAAGAAGTAGATGTTTACAAAAATTCGTTCTTTTTAATAAGTACTGAATGGGTTAAAAAATGTATTGTATCGTTCAAACGGCATTTAAATTAACTTTCCATTGATGTCAAAGTTTACAAGAAGTAAGTTCAAATTATGAGTATATTTATCTTTTGTTTTGTCAAAATACTTATGCCTACCAGTGTATTTTACTTCCTTTATGTGATCTAGGGGTCCAATTCTACTAGGAACTACCATTTTGTATACACTATTGTTATTAGAAGAAAATCTCGTTTTCACTTTTACAAAATATTATATTAACAAATGTGGCCCCTAAACCGGTTTTAGCGTTATGGGAGTTTTTTGAGCGTTATAAACTGTGAAAGAGTCCCTAGAATCTGCATTCCTAATGCCAACTTCTAAAAAAATTCAAAAAAGTTTATCCAGTGTGGGGAAAATAATGGTCAGTTCTTTTTTTAATGAGTCAAATGTTCACTTGCTCACTTGCCCACTTGTTTTGCAGCTTAGTGTAGCCTTGGAATATTTGCACTTATCCTGTTGGGTTCCTAGGTCCTCAAAATGGCTCCAAATTTTGCTTTACATTTTAGATCACATCATATTGTGTTTCTTTATTTGCTTATATCCTAACGCTTCAAGCAAATACAGATGCTCATTGCGTTAGTCCCATCGATTTTAGAATTTTTATACGACTGAAATTAGATTAAATTATATTATTTATTATAATTACTAATTTAGAAAAGAAAATATACAAAAAAAATATTTGCGATTTTTTTTTTGTTTACTTTAATAAGTTTGAATTATCTTTAAATTTGCATATACTCATTAAACTTACGGAGAAACTTAGACGCGCTTCTAATTGTTTTGAAAGCATGAGATAGATTGTTCCATAGCCGAATCGCGTTTATACAGAATTGCCTCTTTGAGCCCAACGTTTTATATCTGTGCTGGTAGCAGTATCTGATACAGATACACAGACTTACTTACTTTTTGTTTTTAAAAAATAAAACTAGTGTTTTAAAATCAATAATTGCAAAGTGTGTTCGGTACGACGGAGATTATACACTGTTCACTCATTCAGTTTAGAGAACTAATCTTTTTTGATCACTCACTCATAAGCAACCCAACACTAAAAGACAACCCTTATGTAATAAATATTATGTCGTCTTTTATATAATTCCCACATAATCCTTTTTTTTAACCGACAAATGTATTTTTTTCTGTTTACGTAATATATTGAAATCTCTTTAGTAGGCTTTGTGAAAGCAACCTCTGTCGGCTTGACCATTTTTTTATGCAAAGCAGCTGTCCCAACTCAAAGTTTTCAGAACAAAACAAGGAAGAACGCTATAGTCGAATACCTCGACTATCAGATACCTGTTACTCAGCTAATGGGACCAAAGGGAAATGGAGATATGCAAACAGCAAAGCGAGATTGAAATGCGCCACCTACCGGCACTAGACAGATTTAAGCGTTATGGGCGTTAGGGTGGGATTTGCAAATTTTTTTTTTTGGATCAATCGATAGGTATTGACGACACCAATACATTTCAGTTAAAATTTTTTATCTAGCATAAAAATTGTGGGCGCCACAGGCTTGGGCGGTTTGTGGGCGTTAGAGTGGGCGTGGCAAACTTTGACAACTTATATGGGAATCCTTTATCTAATTTAGTTCAATCAAGTTTTTGTTTTACATTAAAGCTTCCAAAATGTGCTCAATGATTTTTCACTAGCCTTTCATCTCAGCTCAAAACAGGATCAAATTATGAAGCTCAGTCTCTGGTTGTTTCACTCGTGTTAGGTGTCTG